GCCTAACTTAATGTGGGTTGTGCTTGACTAACTTAATATGGGTTGTTGGGAAATTTTCAGTTAGGCGAAAGTAGAATTAAATTTTTTGGTACTGGCGTACTGCAGATGAGCATATTAGTGCTCCTCTTCAACCACCAATTTGCCATTAATTTAAGAAGGTTAAGTACTAAATTTAGTTAAACTGTGCCAAGTGGTCCAATGGCACGTGCTCTCATTAAGGTAGGTGAGATGTTCATTAGATCTGAAAATTGAATTTTCAATTATTAATATTTAACAAAAGTAACTTATTAATTATTGTTCTTATAAACAGAAAAAAGAGTACTAAATTTAGTTTCAAAACTTTTTATTATAAATGATTTTTGTTTTGAAATTATTTTTTGTATTTTTCTCATCCTTCAATTATAAAAAATATAGTTTTTATTATATTGTTAATTTTGTTTGTTAACTCTGTACTGTTAGTATCTTTTTGGCTCTTGAACTGTTGTTTTATTCATATTTTTAGTTATTAAACTAATATTTATTATATATTTTTAAATCTTAAACTTTTATTTTATGTATATTTATGTTATTAAAGAAAATTTAAAAAATACTGACTAAACAAACACAATGGATAAAACCAACAGAAAGAACAAAAGGTATATTTTTTATAATTAAAAAATAAAAATAATGTAAGAAATAATTCTTAAACTAAAATTATTAAAAATTAAAAATCAAAGGACTAAATTTAACACTTAACCATTTAAGAAAGCGTACAGTGCAGGAGTTAACATGACCAGGACATGATCTACGGAAAAGGAGCTGTCTTGTTAATGTTAGTACTTTGATCACAACCCATATCTGACAACCCCTATCTCCAAACCTACTAAGCCACACTTGGCACATTCCTATTAGGCACATCTTTCAAATGAATCAAATGCCACCAATCATCCCTCATTTTTGCCTTAAATGTTTCCAACTAGAGCATTTAATACACGGCAGGATGGCAGTTCCTCTGCCCTCTTTTCCATAATGCTTAATTATTACTCCTATGCTAGTTGAGCTAAGTTCCAAGCAATGGTACTGTCTCATGGTGTCCACAAAGGATATTCAAGTAATTTTGTGGAATGTCAAGGGTGGATATAGATCAATAGCATCACATGTATGTGTGTAACTATATATAGACCTTACACCGCCTTGCTACCCTCATCAACAACTTTATCAGAAATTGAAGAAAATCAAGAGAGGGGGAGTAGGCCATTTACAGGGAAAGATGTCTCTAATCACAGAAGAGATCAGAGCTAAAGCAGATGAGTTGTACCATGGAGATGACAAATGTCAAGAGAAAACAAAGTTTTTGCTCCAGGAGGTAGGCATGCCTAATGGGTTGTTGCCCTTGAGAGACATTGAGGAATGTGGGTATGTGAAGGAGACAGGGTTTGTGTGGCTCAAGCAGAAGAAGAGCATAACCCACAAGTTTGAGAAGATAGGGAAGCTTGTGACTTATGCACCTGAAGTCACAGCCGTGGTGGAGAAGAACAGGATCAAGAAGCTGACTGGGGTCAAGACAAAGGAGCTCTTGATTTGGATCACACTCAGTGATATCTATGTTGATGATCCCCCAACTGGGAAAATCACCTTCAAGACCCCTGCTGGCCTATCCAGGACTTTCCCGGTGTCCGCTTTTGAGGTTGAAGAGGAAGGTAAGGATGCCAAGGAGAAGACTGAGGTGAAAGAACTGAATGGTGCTGTGGTAGTGAAAGAGGTGTGAGTTTTATCTGTGGTTCTTATGGTGTTGGCAACCAAATGTATTGTGTTTTTCTGGTGTTTCTTATCATGTTATTGGTGATAAAGGTGTTTTATTGTTTCAATGTTTCAAAGAGCATTTTGTGGAGCCTAAAGGTTTAACCATTTCGTGGATACAAACTTTAGGTAAAATGAGTTTGTTCTTCTACGATATGGGTTGTACTCTAGTGTAAAATAAAAATTTATAAATAAAGAGATGTATTAAAATATAAAATAAAAATTTATAAATAAAGCGAAAGTTTTAA